AACACGCTTCACTTCACTCCCTATTTCTAAACATGGAATCAGTATAGTCCAATCCTGTAACATCATCTTACATTTTGCGGGAGCGAATCGCAGAAGCATATAAACAGTCGTTATGACATACTTTGTGAATTCACAATACCTTGAATACATGATTTCACTTAGAAGTGAAGTCAGGAAATCGGAGTCTCGTAATGATGATAATATGCCTACTTTTTGGTATTTTTCATTTTAAAAGAAAAAATGGGACTAAAATGATTCATTCAACAAACATAATGTCAATAATTATCAGGCCTTTGCTATCTACTCACTAGTTTTTATTCAGTAGGATAAAAGTGTGGAAAAACCCCACCTAGTAGCTACTATAACATTGGCGATGATGATGATGATGAACGAACAGTTGTGTATAACTCATCCACCTGATGGATAATACAAACCAGAGTTTGGCTGAAGTGAAACTGGCAAAGTTTAAAATGAATATGACCGTATCAATATGTTTCAAACGACCAATAACATTAACCTGTCTGCCCACATGCTTTCATCTACTCTTCACATCACCTCCTCCATGTCACCCCACCCTCACACTGACAACCAACTCGCTGCTTCCCATTTGGGTTCCATTCGAGGGCTTGTCTAGTGATGTCACTTGATGGCTTCCTCAGAGTATGGCCAATCCACCTCCATTTCTTCCTGCATATTTCTCGCACAATTGTTTCCTGCTGTTTTGGTTCGCTCCCAGAGATCCTTTCCTGTTGCTGATCTTTTCTGATTGGCCATCTGATCTTCAGCGAAGTATTGAGCGAAGACAGCTGTTGATGAAAGTCTGTAGTTTGTTCGAAGTGCCCTTCGTGACGCGGCGTGGCGCCAAGTCTGTGATCCGTATAGTAGCAGTAAATTCACATTGGATTTGAGTGCTGTTGACCTCCACACAGACTTGAGAGTAATGAAAGCTTGCTTGCCTTGCTTTCCCGATCTTCGCTTTGATATACTCTTCAGTTCCGTCCACCTGTAGTTGAAACGATGCTTCCCAGGTAGGTAGTTAGGTAAAGGAGGTTGCTTCTTTCATATTTCTCGCATTTACCATGGCTGATTGTTGTCTGTTGTTGTTACTGCTGTTGCTATTTGTCAGGAACCCTCATCACCTCTGTTTTCTCTATGTTCACCCGAAGTTCTTCCTATCTTTGCTGCTTCTTCTGCTTCTGTCTCATTATATACTACTGATAAATCTCGTCAGTAGCACACGCCACAGCAGTATTTGTAGCTGGGCGACTGGATCTTATCGTTGATAGGCTTATTTCCTGTCGAATACATTGATTAAATTTCTGGGATAAATATCTCTAGTTGAGGCCAATAGTTATCACTGTCAAATATCTTTGTTACTAAACGGACAATAATCTCTGACTCACTTTGGTAACTAACATTAATACGCATAAATGACTGAAATTAAACGACATGTTGCAAAGTCATTCATAAGACATAGGTGACATATAAGTTGACTAGTATTCGGACATATTCTGATGTATTTGATTATTAGCCTAGCAACATATTGTTTGCTTTCACTCTGCATAAACTCCTAAATAACTGTAAGGTATTGTTGAGAGGTTACAAAAACAGGCCTCTTTACTCTCAGTTATGTGGTCTTAATTCACGTCACAAGGCAATTTATCATACTCCGGCTAAATGTAGTATATTATTTAATGTAAGTAGTGTTTTCTCATCAATAACCTTATATAAGGTGAAACTTGGTAACCACATAGATTTGTTGTTAGTAAACAAATAGTATAAACTTCACGATTATTCCTATGCTGAAACGTTTTTTAATTCCTTCACGTTCCCAGTGGAAAATACGACAGCTTCAAGCTAGAGGCTTGAAGTTGCGGTAGCAGTGGTTGATATTTATTTTCACGGGATAGGGTTGCTAGCCTCATGCCCAACCTTCTCTCTTTACCAGTCTTAATAACGCCTTAGCGAGGTAAAAGAGTGCGTTGGTGGCCGGGGATCGAACCCCGGACCACATGAGGCGTGGTCGGCGAGCATTCTACCGCTGTGCCACCGACATACTTATGCTGAAATTAAAAGTTTAAATTTGAAGCTGCACTGTTCTTGGTGTTATCACTGTCTTTACCCTTGAGTAGAGTAAGTCTCAGAGAGTTGACCTTCTCTACATTTTTATGTTAGCCTTTTAACTCCTTGCATTATCCTTCTCGCCTCTTCTGAACATCATTAGGACACAATGTATTGAAGATACTTTTTCAACTATATACGGTGAGTAACAAGTGTTACGCATGCGACCTTAGCCATCGCCTTCCTCGACAATGGGAAATGTTAGCTGACTGACATAGGATTGATCAGGTTGGAAAAGACAGAGCTAGTAGTACGTGGTGGTTAAACTAAAACATGGCTTTATCAGTCAATCAAATCCATAACAGTTAGTTTGAGTCAGCCAGCCAACCACATTGGGAGGTATAGACTAGCTGGCTGACTGTTTGGAATCCTCAGGGTGGTAAAAACCAATGACGTCTGGAGACAATTGGTGATATGGTTCGTTTAAAATGATCGTTCTCAAGCTACAGCCAGCTTGAAGTTTCCGTAGCAGTGGTTGATATTTATTTTCACGGGATGGGGTTGCTAGCCTCAACTGGCCCAACTTTCCCTCTTTACCAGTCTTGTTACTTACTGGCTTATCGAGGTGTGGGATTGCGTCGGTGGCCGGGGGTCGAACCCCGGACCACATGAGGTGTGGTCGGCGAGCATTCTATCTCTGTGCCACCAACGCATGAACTGCTATACACTTCTGTGCAAAATTCTATGCTGAAACTAACCAGCTAAACAGTGAATAAGCTCAGTTTCTTTTCATTTTTCTGGTTTCACATTCTTGACTTTTATTCTTCATTATATCGGTGTGATTTTTAAAATTACGGCTATTTTGAATACCTTGACAAACACATGTGCACATACACTTGCCACTAGGCTTTATTTATTTTTTTATACAATTCACCTAGACTTCTGTTAAAATAATAACTCTCCTTTATAGTAAAGTAGGTAGGTAGGTATCTTAGTAGTAGTGGTCAATCGTTATGTGTTAATGTCAATAGCAAATTTCGGTTGTTACTGTCTCACCTTTTCTTTGTGGTGGTGATGGTGGTGGCGGTATTTTTTTTATGCCTTTAATGTATGCTGTTTTATGAATTACCTTCTATTCGTTTTCCTTTATGTTTCCGTCTGTATTGTGAAGTGTGAGAATGTATGTATTGGGCGGTAAATTAATTCTTTAAAAGTAGTAGTAGTAGTCGTAGTGGTATTAGTAAAATGAGGTGTTTTATTCCCTAAAACATTCACCCTGTCTTATCATCTGATACATTTAATCATTCTGAACAGGTGGTGATAATGAAACCACTTCAGATGGGATGTTTTGCTTTATAAAGTTTAAGTGTTGTGGTAAAGGTACTTGAATGTTCTGGTTTCTGGAGACATTTATTTCCCGGTACAAAATATTAAACAAGCAACAAATGGAGTTAATAAAGTGGGATTTAATAAATTCATCGAATTTCGATAGAACTGCTCTTCCTCAGCTGGATGGATACTCTACTTACAGGGATATAAAATTAAGATAAAATTCATTATACAGTTTAATTATATCACTTAATTAAACAGTTAGGTAGTTATCAGTGAGTGAACGAACTTGAATATATATCAAGAATTTCGAACCAAATTACATTGCTAATAATAGTAATGTTAATAATAGTTGCAATAATAATAATAATAAAAGTCACGAAGTGGTATAAGTTAGAATTCATGAGCCATCTAAACCCAGGGATTCAGCCACACGTCTCCATTGCGTTCGGTTCTCTGCCAACGTTTTCATCGCCTGGCTCCACGTCTACCTACATGCTTTCATCTCCCCTTCACATGACCTCCTCCTCCTCCTTCATGTAACCCTTGCACTGACGACCGACTCGCCGCTTCCTGTTCAGGTTCCACTCGAGCGATGGCTTGTTTAGTGATGTCACTTGACATCTGTATATATGTATGTATTCCCTTTGAACAGATAGATCAGGTTTCAGCCGTTTGATTGTGTTAGGTGGTATAACAAGGTGAGCAAAAGTGAGGTTGGGCGTTGGTCGAGTGTTGGATGATGAGGGGAAATCAATCGACGAGGTTGTGAAGTTACACCGATTGAGACGGTTTCGACATGTGTTACGCATGCATCCTTAGCCATCACCTTCCTCGACAGGCAATGTTATCTGATTTAGGATCAGATCGGAAAAGAGCTAGTGGTAGTCAAACCGAAACATGGCACATGAGTCAATGAAATCCACACTAGTTAGTTTAAGCCAAATAGGGTGGCGTAGACTGCCTGACTGACTGGTTGGAATCCTCAGGATGCTAAAAACCAATGAAGGCTGGAGACTGTTAATTGGTGATATGACTGGCTCAAAATCTTCGTTTTCAATGACTGGCGCAGATGCATTCACTCTTTATGAATTGCCAGTCATATCCAACAAACGCCTATTGTTCTTCCATATTACCATTCTTTTTCCGTCACTCACGCTTCTGTTTATCATCTCTATTTTGGTGAATCTCTCTTTAGTCTCTTCCCTTGCTTTGTGTACTACATGGAGGGAGTGTGGCACTTCGAAGTGTTGCAAACCTGTGCAAAGTTCTACGTCGAATCCAGTCAGTCAGTCAGTCAGCCAGTGATTGTGATAGCGTCTCAACAAACCGAAGATGTGGGCTATTTTGTTTCTCAAGTGTTGGTTTGTAGGGATTTGATTGGTTACAGGATTTCATCATGAGCTGACATCAGTTAGAGAACCATTGGAAAACCTGGGAGTACTGGACAGCTGTTTCGTCTTAGTTTGGGACTCTTCAACAGTACGCACCCCCGGGATTCGAACCTGGTTTCTCTTAATTATTTCCAATAATTTAGTGCATTGAATCGATGGTATTTTTAAATAATTCTTGTTTTTTGTTTTCTTCAGTATTATTTTTTTAAATTTCAGATTTATATTATCCATCATTATGTCACAAGTTTTTTGTTAATGAAATTATGGGGAAAAATAAATGTTAAATAACACAAACCACCCTTTATATGGAAATTACTCAAGACAACATAACCCGCCTCCCTGACGAAGACAAGAAGTGATTGCTCCTAAAAGAAAAGAAAAATTTAATAATTAACAGTCGCTGCCACCTCCACCCCCTCCCCTTTACCACTACATCCCTTGTACTCCAACCATCGATCTATCCATCCACCTAGTCAGACAGTCAGTTAGTCAATCTTCATTTCACCAATGAATAAGGCTTGTTTATCTAATAGATATAAACAGAAAATAATAAAACAAGCTTTAAATGCTAATTTCATATTACTCTATCAACCAGCACCGAATTCCTTCATTATTATACAAAAAACGGATCACATTCCTGGGGATCATGAGATAAAAGAAGCTGATCAAGAAAAAATAGTGGAACCGACTACTACAACAGCATCGTCTTTGATCAATCATTGTTCTTGTAATCTGCATGAATTACAATCAACATTAAAACATAACTGTCGTCAACATCGACGAGAACCACAACAACAACAGCAGCAGCAGGGTGTTGGTGTACGTCAACGTTATCGTGTTGTTATTGGACCACAAATATGTAATTGTCAAAATGAACTGATGCCTGAATCAGGATTAATGACGACGACCACGACGATGGCGATGAAAGAACCATGTATTCATTTATTATTTGTTATGCTGCATATTCTTAAAATACCTAGTGATGATATACACTTAATGGTAATACCATTGCCAAGTTCTAAAGTAAGTTGATTTGTTTATCGAGTTTGATTACGGATTGATATCAGTTAGAGAATCAGTGAAAACCAGCAGAGGGAGTACTACTGGGCAGCTGTTTCGCCAGCCTAGTTTTGGATTCATCAGCAGGACGCACCCAACACCAGGGTTCGAACTCAGCGAGACTGTAGAACATTCAGCCACTGGGACCCGATTCAATGGGCAACCAAGGAACTATAAATTCTACGAATTCTACATTTTTAGTGCGATCACTGGACTTCACTGGGCACGACTTCTCACTCACTAGAACTCTAGGAATCTCCGTCCTCCAGCAAGTCACTAGCAAGCATCTAGTCAGGAGTGAGTATGGAGTTCCCGCCGATGAAATTGGTTGGTGGTCGCGCTAAATATATGACGAATTGATAGAAGTGAGAATATTCATGGTCTGGCTGGCCATTGAGTCGAGTCCCAGTGGCTGTATGGTCTATGAGCTTTACTTGTGACCGGAAGGTACTAGGTTCGAACCCTGGCAGTGGTTGCGTACTCCCAATGAGTCTCAAACTAGGATGAAACAGCAGCTGTCCAGTACTTCAGTGCTGGTTTTCAATGGCCTTCTAAGTTGAGCTGACATCAGTTAGAGAACCGCTGGAAAACCTGGGAGTACTGAACAACTGTTTCGTCCTAGTTTGGAACTCTTCATCAGTGCGCACCCACCGCCACGGTTCGAACCCAGGACCTTCTGGTTACAAGGCGAGCTCTTAGACCATTGAGCAGCCACTGGGACCCGATCCAATGGCCAACCCATGAATTCTAAATTCTACCAATTCGTCCTATATATTTACTGCGACCACCAACCAATGTCATCGGTGGGAAATCCATCCTCACACTTTTGACTGGTTGGACCTCCTTGGTCACAACTTCTCACCAGAACTTGAGACAACTACAATTTGTAGTCAGTCGCACTAGTGAGCACTAGATTAATTTTCAAGTGTTGGTTTCCTCAAGGGGCGGGGGGGGGGCATTTGATTGATTTCAAGATTGATCATGAATTGATTTCCTTTTCGATCTATATCGCCAATGGACAGAAGTAGTTAGAGCTGATGGATCATTGAATTCCATCCCAGTAGCTGAATGGTCTTGTGAACTGAGAGTTCACGGCTGTATCCTTGATAAGGTAATGGGTGCATACTTGCGAAGAGTCCCAAACTAGGACGAAACAACAGGTGTCCAGTAATTTATACTGATTTATAATGGTTCTCTAACTTAAATCACTTCATAGATTATTTATATAAATGTGGCTATCCAATTCGAAACTTTGTTCAATTATTTAATTGTAGTATAAACAGGAGTATCACTGACACAGAGCTAGCTGCCTAACCGAAGTCACAGCATCTGTTAGTTAACGCGAAAATGCTGGAAATATGCTGTTAAACATATTCATTACTTAGAGGTGTGCGTCGGTGGCACAGCGGTAGAATGTTCGCAGACCACGCCTTATATGGTCTGGGGTTTGATCCCCAGCCGCCGACTCACTCCTTTACCTCGCTAAGCCAGTATTGAGACTTGTAAAGAGGGAAGATTGGACATGAGGCTGGCAACTCCATTCGTAAAAATTTACACTACTGCTACGGAAACTTCAAGCTGGCTCTAGCTTGAAGACCTATTTTCCACTGGGAATGTTAAGGAATAAGAAAAATTACTGAGACGTCACTTTCGCTTGTCTTTTTTAACAATCTGAACATCAAATAATCATTTTTGTCCGTCGGAAATAAAGATATCGGGACTATACATGAACAAAAAAATCACCCTTCACAAGTGAAACCGTAATGGAAAAGGACGAGCTAGGAGCGTGGGTCCGATGGAATGACTAACTAATTTCAACATAGAACTTTGCATAGATGTGTAACACTTCGAATTGCTACACTCTACTCCATGTAGCACACACAGCAAGAGAAGACAGTAAAAAGATATTCAAAAGACAGATAAACAGAAGTGTGAGTGAGCGCAAAAGAATAGTAGTCATATGGAAGAACAATAGAGCTTTATCGAACATGACTGGCAAGTCACAAAGAGTGAATGCATCTGCGTCAGACCAGGCATTGACAACGAGGATTTTGAGCCAACCATATCACCACTAATTGTCTCCAGTGGTGATTAGTTCTTAGCCTCACCCCGAGGACCCCAACCAGTCAGTTAGGAAGACAGTCAGTCTTCACATCCCTGAGTTGCTGGCTGACCGGCTGACTGGCTAACTCTTATGGATTTGATTGACTGACGAAGCCATGTTTTGGTCTGACCACGACATACTAGCTATCTCTCTCTTTTCCAACCTGATCAATCCTATGTCAGTCAGCTAAGATTGTCCGTTGTCGAGGAAGGCGATAGCTAGGTAGGTATGCGTGCGCAGCATCTGTCGTAGCCTAGCAATGGAGTGGCTTGCACTCGTTCAAAGCGCTAGTATATGCTAAAATGAAACTAATTAATTTGTCGCAGACATATCAGCGGGTAATCACAAATATGAATTTATTTATTCAGTTCCTCGGTGTGTTCCCATGGGAACACAGGGCCTCAAACTGCAGCTCTGAAGTTTCGGTGGAGATGTTGTTCTTTTACGGGATAGTGTTGCAGCGGGATAAGACACGAGACTTAAAAACGGACTTCTTTTATTGAGCAAAATCACACCATATTTATACATTTTTAGCCACATTCATGGTTGGCTAGGTCAGCAGATAATAAACTGTTGTGATTGGTTTTTGATTTTCCGAAGATATTACACTTTGAGGTTATTTCTTGAATGCAACTTGGGCTAGATCCATATTTTAGAAATAAGCACTCCCACTTCTGTAGCGACTGACTTAAAATGTTTTTCCGATTTCGGCTGTTTCCTAAAACAATCTGTGTCAACATACTACTGATAATTCTTGTCAGTAGTAGCACACTCCACACTGGTCCCCCCGTCAAATAGTTTCGAGCAGAGGCGCGCTCCGACCTTCTTGGTTGCTACCCACTATTGTTACGTTTTGTTATCGGCTGACTTGTCCTACTGTATCCATCTGGGGATCTGGTTGGCGTTAACACACGTTTCTCTTTGTATCCTCTTCTAATGGCATAAACAGAACCACATCTCTCAGTGACAATGTATAATCCTTCCCAATTTGTATAAGCAGTTTCCGTGAGCTTGGACTGCATCCAACTGTATACTTTCTTTCTCTGCACTTTACTTGATCTCCGACTGCAAAGGTTATACATCCCATCCTTTCTCTGTGCTCAAATTTTGCGGCGTCCCGACTGCCTCTTATCATTGTATAAAACACAAAATAATTGAGCAAAGAATATCGTTTTCGATAATTTCCTCTTCTGGCTCTGCAATTATATATACATATACGTTTATACACATAGAATATTCTAAATTAGTTGTCAATAACAATATTAGTGTTTTTTAAATACTATCGATTTGTTAAGTAAGATCACAGTGGAATTACAGTTCATTAAAGATGCTTAAATTATGATAATAATAAAGATATAGTAGCAAATAGAATATTAAATAAAATTAAGGAAATTTCTACAAAAAACTGAGGATCATTCAAACCTAGATGGCCAGCGGGGTAAGGACAATGTCTGAACTAGCTTCTTTTGGACACATAAATTAGGTTTCTTAATGTAGATCCCAACAGCGAGCCTCAGCAATATTTAGTAAACGAACTCTTAAGGCGAAGTTAAGATTAGTTGATTGGTATGCGCGGTAGATGACTTTGAAAGTCGCCTGGTTAACATCAATCTTACCGTTCTATTCACAATCTCGTCATATTCCAGATTTAGTGAAGGAGCTAATCCTATGCTCAATCTTCTCCTCTTTTTACTGGTCCTACTACCTACCGACTCTAGGTAAGGTGTAAGAGTAAGCCGTCCAGGAATCGAACTCCAAACCAGATGGCTGGTTGGCGTGTGTGTGTGTGTGCGTGGTCTAACACAGTCAACCAATGAAGAGATGTAAATTGACTCTTTTTTTAATAATAATAATTTACTTTATTCCAAAACAAGCACTACTTATAATGCAGAATGGAATTCTCAGTATTTGTCACAATATTGCATCTGATTTACTCAAAATGTACATAAAATTAAAAATTAAAACAAAATTAATCGGAGGAATTTGTCCACATTTACGACATAATTATTAGATATAATAATAATAATAATAATAATAATAATAATAATAATAATATACTAATAACAGTGAGTTTGTTTCAAACGGTATTGTCAATTCAGTTTGGAAACTTTAGCATGTTATGGATAATTGGGTCTAATGTTCTGTTGATATGGTATAGTGAGGTGAAATACAAAGTTAACAGTCATAATACAGCTTAAAATTATGTCCACACTTATGAAAAATAAAATAAACAAAGCGAAAACATTGAGAGGATTATAAGTGTAAGAAATACAATAACAAAAAAGAATGATGCTTTAAGGTTGAAGGAAATGGTTTATTTAGTGGTGCTAAGAAGGTTAGTTAGTTCATTTCTGACGCTATTTTCATCACATAAAGTACGTGCCAAATGTGGTATAGTGGAATCTTTATACTTGGACGTACGTGCATAAATTCTTCTGAAAAAACTTCTTGTTTTACCCGAGGAGACACAAGGTTAGAGCTGCTGGTAGAGTGAGTGCTCAGAGTCTGACAAAATTCCTCTAGCGAATCTGTTGCATGACATCAAATGCCTATCGGTGACAATGCCAACGATATGGCCCAGTGGAATACCACTCGTCGTACTGACAGTCTTCAGAGTTCTGCGAAGTATGACATAGTCCTTTTTAAGCAATCCCGGAAAGAATAAGGGTGAACAGTAAAGAAGAATAGGTAAAATACACGAGTTGATAAACTGTAAGAGGAGTGGTTGAGCTATGCCTGAATGCCTTAACTTCTTAATGTAAAAAGTCAAACGAAATATTCTTTTAGAAATCGCTAAGACATGGGAAGACCAGGATAGGTCAGAAGAGAGAACTAATCCAAGATACTTAACTTCAGACTTGGTTTCTACATCAGTATCATCGATTTTGCAAGGGTCATAGGAACCAACGTCTTCATTTAACTTTCGTTTACATCGGAAACTGAAATTGACAGTCTGACATTTGGAAGGATTAAGTTTAAGGCCGTTAGACGAAGACCATTTGCTAATTTCTGATAGAAAGTTGTTAATCTTAGTGCAGTCAGGCTGAGAGTTAATAGACATTGAAATAGTTAGATCATTGGCATACCTAACTTCCTTTATTTCTTTTCAACAGGCTGAATTTTGGATTGAAAACTATCGAAATTATCGTCAATCAATTCGACAATCTTATACAAAAAATAAAAAGCATTCATCAACGTCACTATCAACGACATCCTCATCATCGAATACTGCAAAAAGTAATGAAAATTCACCAGAATTATCTAAATTCTCAGAGAAATTATTATTATTAAATAATAGTAATAATAATAATAATGAATTTGTATCCAATACACGTTTAATTATTCCTCAGCCTATTCGTCATGAACAAAGTCAACATCAACACCACCACCCGCAACAACAACAACAACAGGCCAACAATTTATCTCATTTACGCACTATTATCCATCCAAATACTTTTGATTCTACAGAATTATCCTCAATTACACAAGATATTATCCCGGTGTCTAGAAGAGAAATAGAAAGCTCTACTGGTAGTGGGGGTGGTGCTAGTGGTGGTAGCTGCAGTACATGTTGTGATCCAAGTACTTCATATAATACAACAGTAACTTCAAGAACTAGTTCTATTGATAGTATAGAAAGTTGTAGATTGGATTCATCCAATAGCCGATTGAATGACTTTCATCATCCCCTTCCTCCTCCTCCGCATCACCATCAATATCATCACCGTCCTCACCTTCCACACCATCATCATAACCATCATGACCATCGTCAGCATCAAAATCATCAAATGAAAACAGCCACTTCTATAAATTCAGATAGAATTTTATCCTGTCGACGACCACGTACTGCACCACAACCTGAACTACCACCGAGATTAGGTCGTACAAGAACCAAATTTGTCAGGTAAATATTTATACCTATAAATTCTGTTTTATAGTATTTTGATTGGATTGTTTAATTGTTATTATTATTATTGTTCCCTTGGGTTCCTAGTGGAACATAGGGCTTCAACTACACGTCTCCATTTGCTTCTGTCTTCTAATGTACTTTTCACCTGCATCCATGTTAGTCCATACTGTTTCAGCTCCTCTTCACACGATCTCCCCCATGTCACCCTTGCACCGACGTCCCACTCGAGGGCCTGTCGCGCGATGTCACCCAGCGGCCTCCTCAGCCATTGTCCAATCCATCTCCACTTTCTCCTGCATATTTGTTTGGCGATTGGTTCTTGTTTTGTTTCTTCCCATATCTTCTTGTTGGTGATTCTTTCCGGCCATCTGATCTTCAGTATAGAGCGAAGGTGGCAGTTGTTGATAAAGGTCTGCAACAGGCTGTTGAAAATATTCTTTGTGACCCGCCAAGTTTCTGATCCGTATAGAAGAACTGACTGACTTGACGTTTGTATTGAAAGTTCGAATTTTGTTGTTGATGCTGAGTGACGAAGATTTCCAGATTGGTTTCAGGTTGATGAATGTGTTTCTCGCCTTCCTGATTCTCGATTTGATATCCTCGTCCGTTCCTCCTGTAGTTGAGACAATGCTCGCTAGATAATTGAAAGAAGTAACCTCTTTCAAACCCCTCCCGTTGATGGTGATTGGCGCTGTATGTTACTGCTGCTGTTGTTGTTGTTGGTTGGTTGATTGTTTGCATAACCTCCGTCTTGTCTATGTTCACCTGGAGTCCTGTCTTCTCTGGCTGCTTCTTCGACCAGTTTGTCGGTTTTCGCTTGTAAGTCTTCGATTTTGTGTGACATCAAACATAAGTCATCCACGCGCGAAATCCAGGTCTTCTAGGTTGTTCACGTCGGTCCAGGATATCCCTGTCTTCTCGTTTCCCACTGTCTGACGCATAATCCAGTCCACCCCAATTAGGAATATCATTGATGATAATAAGCACCTGACTCCTGTGTTTACTCCAAACGCCTCGCTGAGTTTTCCGTTGTTTCATAAAATTGTAATATTCCGATGTTTAAGTTTGTCGGGAATTTGACTAATAAGCGTAATAATGGCTTTATTATGAATAACGTTCATGTAATAAACAAAATTTTCAGCAGAGTTTATTACAGTGATATTTTCTCTTTGTCGAGGATCTTCAAATACAAGATTAATTGACAGTAGATAGTGTGACACTGTCTGCTATCTAACCTCAAGCTCAAAACAATCCATTACAATATCTCTTCTTTTTCTCCTTCGGGTATTTACACAACGACATGTGATTTTACACAAAAAATAATATACAACAACATATTGATGGAGGTTTTCTTTGGCCCGAGTTTTTAACAGTCCCCGAGAATGGGGATCAAACAAGCGAAATAAATTTTTGATTGGACACTAGCCAGTAACTACTGTAATGTGTCTAGTCCTACCTTCCGTGTGGACTGAATTCTGTCAATCAAGTTTGCAATATGGCCACCATACCACTAGATGGCTTGACATTACGGTGCACTGTGAATTGTTGGTATTAGATGGTTGGAGGCAATCGGTCACAAGAAGCCTTGTCTGACTTAGGTTTCGTGCTCGTTGGCACTCACCAGTCCGTCAGTCAGCAAGGCGTATCTACAGTCTTGAAGGAACTCATGCCCCTCCCTTGTGAGATTTGAACCCGCGTCATCCAGTGAGAGCTGCAGTCAGGGACGTTACCACTGAGCTATTCGGCCTGGCTCGCGATTGACCTCCTATAGGACTGTATTAAATATTTTTGATTGGACACTGACTGACTAACTAACTAACTAACTAACGATTTCCCTTCCCCTCCTATTTATTTTTGATTTTTTTATTACGGCAACAATGTTTCTGTTTTATGATTTTTAATAAATCATGTTTTATAGCTTAGTTCTCTCCTCTTTGAACACCTCTCATAACAACTCCCGTAAATGTCTAGACAGGTCATAATATAAGTTAATAGGATAATAATAACAATAACAGTAATAAAAGAAGAATTGAAGTGAGACAACTAACTAACTAAGTGAATAACGCTCAGTGGATCTATTACAAATTTAGGAAAGTTATCCCATCACAAAAGCGATAAAGACGTGACCTTTACAGGGAAAACATTTTGTAGATTGTGTAATTGATTGTAAATTGTGTAACTGACAAGTTAGCCACACAGACACGCACGCACATACACACACACAGAAACAATAAAATTATCGGAACAAAACCTACTATAAAGTTTATGCGTGTGTATGCATGACAGTTCTGTAACAGAAACAAATAACCGAATTATGTACAACATGAGATATGAGAAAAATGTATTTAGTTAAATGTTGACTTGCAAGGTTTTGATTTGATTCGTTGCAGGATTTTATCATGAGCTGACATCAGTTACAGAACCCGACTGGAAAACCACCTAAAAGTACCGGAGAGCTGTTTCGCCAGCCTAGTCTTGGACTCTTCACCAGTGCACATCCAGCGCCAGAGGTGGATACTGATGAAGGGTCCCAAACAAGTCTGACGAAATAGGTGTCCAGTATTGCCTGATGGTTTTCCAATGCATAACACGCGTCCTAACCATTTGAATTGATGCATCTACTTCCCAACGTCGTCGATTGATTTTTCCCTCTTTCCCTAGCACTCGACTGATGTGATGCCTGACTTCAATATTACTCACCTTATTATACCACCTAGTGTAGCTAAGAATCTATAAGTATGATGTATTTTTCATAATTATAAGACGTCTATTACGAAGTGTCTTATCTTGTCCTCCCGTTACACTACTATCACTCACTGAGGGTGCGGAGGTGGGGGAGGGTTTGCAGGTATACATCCAGCTGACGAGTCCCAAGCAAATACGACTACACCGAGTATTCCGTATTCCACACGGCAAATAAACAAACAATAAAATTGATTGTCTGAAATTCTTCTTTTTTTAAATGTAAATATTGATCGGTTTCAAGTTACGTCACCATTTTTTTCACCATTACAAAATGTGTTAAATAGTTAAAAATAAAAATTTAGGAAGAAAATTAGTATCATATCATAGGTGTAACATTGATGGTCATAAAATGTTATGAGATGTGAAAATAGGAGGGAAAACAATATGAACAATAAAAATGTTTTTCAAAAGAATAGTCACGGAACAAAGAGTACTCTTTTCGATAAATTCATCATCAGGTTCTACAGTTATATATACATTATAATGAATGAATGAATTAGTCTTATGAACGACATTAATGTTGCTGTTTAAATAACATCAAATCAATAATATTGATAGATTACAGCTGAACAGCGTCAACATAAAATAAACTGAATGTCAGAAGAATTAGGAAAGGTAATAGTACAAATTCATGAGTTTATAGTCTCTAATGAAGGCCGGCCATGGCAGTAATAGGGGCTGGACTTGTTTCTTTTGAACACAGAGTACTGGTCGTTTGAGGCGAATTGCAATAGCCTCTACTGTTTGGAGTATGCGGTGCTTCGACGATTTTGGTATTTTGTTAGGCACCCGGTATATTATATTGCGATTCGCCTAAAACAAACAGTGCTCTGTGTCCAAAAGAAACAAGTCCAGCCCCTACTACTGCCCTGGCCCTCAGTAGAGACTATAAACTCATGAATTTTTACTATTACCTTTCCTAATTCTTCTGACATCCAGTTTTTTATGTTGATGCTACTGAGTTGTAATCTATCAATATTATTGATTTGATGTTATTTAAACAGCAACATTAATGTCGTTCATAAGACTAATTCATTCATTCATTCATTATAATGTATATATAACTGTAGAACCTGATGATGAATTTATCGAAAAGGGTACTCTTTGTTCCGTGTCTATTCTTTTGAAAATTTTAATGGGCATTTTTAATCAGTTAAAAATGTTTTTTTCCTTTCTCGCTGCGGTGATAACTACGGTTAATATTTGAATCCAAACCGCATTTATATAAGTGTATGCCTGTTTTCCACTAATGATATTCTGTTATATCATGATTCCTGCTCAATGTAAGTGTAGAACTTGACCACTGTGGTAGGATGCTATATTCCATATTAGTACTGCCGTATAAAGAAGGAATTTCAGAGGCCTTACGTAGAATTCTCCACTGAGGCTGAAATTAGTCAGAGTGGGATTTAAACCAACCAACCAACTAATGAACTGTCTCAGAGATAAACTCTGTCGGCTTAAGGATCCGATGATGGATCCAATTAACAAAAATAATATAATTTATGAAATATCATGTAATGATGACTCTGAGGTCAATTACACATAGGTGAAAAAAGTCGATACGGGGTCAGTTAGATTATTGGAACATAGAAATTTAGCTAGACCTATAATAATTGACCCTGATAAGTTAAATAACCTAGAAGAAAGCTCAGCTATTGCATTGCACTCACTTGCGTGTAATCACACAACAGGTTGAGCCGGGGAGGGGGTGGGGGAGAGTCAGTGTGAGCTTATTAAAAAGTAATATAGTTAGGTGGAGATAGAGAGAGACGTTAATCACTGGGATCTCTGTTTATCGATTCGACGCCGCCTATACCGGAGATATAGAAAGGGCAAAGTCCAACAACAGTAGCGTCCCAAGGGATGCGAACGCGCGAGTGACCTTCAACCGACCAATGGTAAAAATAAGTGATTTTTGCACAAAAAATAACGTATATTTGCAAGAGAATGTATGAAAACACATTAAACAGAGTATCTTTTTCTAACATGGCTTAAAGATACGTCCCAGTTATAATGAGGGGAGTATCACTTGCTAAGTTAGACTAGTTTCTCACTGAAGATGAGTTGTGTTTTGTGAATCGTTCATCTCTCTTATCCTGTTGTGCAGTCTTCCCCAAAAGCCCTCGGTTGAATTACTATGGTTTCCAGTAAGAGGAACGACCACTACTTACCAGGAAAATATGGATAAGAAAACGAATTAAAATAAATGACAACAACTCTAAATCTATCCCTAATCATAACTCTTC